ACGAGAGGGAGGCAGGCAGGGAGGCAGGCAAGGAGCAGGCAGGTAGGGAGGGAGCCCAGCGCAGCCGCCCCTCCCGAGCGTCACCGGGAGTGGAGCCGCCGCCCGGCGCGGCCGCGGAGCGCTCCCGCTCCCAGCCCTGCCGAGGGGGCGTCAGGCTGTCCAAGAGGGCTTCGGTCCCAGCCGGGCTGCTGATGGGGAGGTGAGAGGTCCCGTGCGTTTTCCTCCCTTCGGGACGAAGTAGGAGAACCAAGAGCACTTTGCGTGAACTGCGTCTGTTTCTCTAATATATGGGCATCCCAGCTGGTCGAGGAAGGTGGGGTAGGGATGACCATCAGTGCTAAACGATGGCACTCAGGGAAAACCTTAGGTCGGGCAGCATCTTCGCTGCTATGATCTTCATCGGGCCCAAGGATACTCAGCTAGCTATTGCAGAGCCAACTGCAGTGTATTTCACACACAGAGCTAACTGGCTTGGTTGCAGGGATGAGTGCAAAAGCCTCTTTAGACCCTCAGTCTAAACAGGGGACACACACTCAGAGCTCAGGAAGGGTTCAGACTTGTTCAGATCCAGATACTGCAGGTAGAGCCCAGCTTCCTTGACTGTCAGGAAATAGGGGTCTCTGCCAGTGCTTCCCCAGTTCCAAACTGGGGAGAAGCATAAGCTGCAGAATTTGCTGGAAACTGCTTCACTTTTTCTAAGCTCTGAGGCTCAGCCTCGGCAGTGGGATGATTGGCATGCTCTTGCCCACTGTTGCCTGGGGTGAGGAAGGAACAGTCCGTAGGCATGATGGTCTCACTCAAGGAGATGCATCCAAGGGGAATTGCCAAACCCTGCTTCTTATGGGAATAGGTGTGATGGCCGGGGGTGCTGCTGAAGGAGCTCATCTTCAAAAGAGGCTGGGGATGCATTTCCTCTCGCCTTTACCCTGTTTCCATGGGAACAGCAGCAAGCAGGAGCAGCCTGCTTGGAATTTCACTGCCTACCGCTCAAACACCCCCTGCCCAATCTTCCCAGCAGACTTTGGCTCCAGAGGGTTTCAGACCCACCCTCACGTGATGGATCCCATGCCTCCAAAGAGAGCTCATCAGTGTGTGTGTGTTGTGGCAGTGCAAAGCAAAGAGGCACAAGCCCAGAGCTGCCAGGATTCCTGTAGCAGCACTGAATGCTATTCCATGCACACTAATAGACAGTTGTAAATAATATGCATTCCTATGTGCATTTCTGCTTTTTATAGTGCTAGGGACTCCTGTAGCATGTGACCTCAGCTAGACCAAAAGGCACATGGGGGATGATCACCCTCCAAGAACAGCACTGGTTTTCTCTCAAAGATGTGAATCTTGCAAAAAAAGAAGGTTAAAGGGGGAGAAAAGGTGATACGAGTTTATGTCTTTGCTTTTAATAGTACATGGTGTTTTTTTCTCCAGGCAATTCGTCTATTCACTTTTGAATTTGTTTTGATTTTAGACTTGTAGATGCTTCATGCATTTTGTGGCAAGGAGTATCACAGCACACACACAGACTCAAGGGGCAGCTTCCTTTGGTGTGCTCGTTATCCACTAGGATTAACCGTTGGGAAGTGGGCTGCTGCCACCCTTATGGAGCCACACACACAGAGCCCTGCACTTTGCCCTCCACTGGTAGAGTCACCAGTGATTTAACCTGAAAGTGATTTAACAGGAATCACCAGTGATTCAGAGGTAGAATTTTTTTGTATCAGGCATCTTTGATACTGGTCTGGGCAGCACGTCTTGGAGACAACACTGTCAAGTGCATCACTAGCTATGCTATTTTTGAGCTGAGGTGTCACAAAGAGGTCATGTGCCCTGCTCTTTCTGAACTGAAATTGTACAAGCCGCTTCAGCCACTTTCTGTGGGAAACAGGCATGTTTCAACCCTCATATAGGAACCCAAAGGCATGGCTGATAATGTGTTACAAAGGGCACAAAACTCCCCAGAAATGGGAGAAATAAGGCTAGGTGATGCTTAGGCCTTTGGGAAACTGAAGCAAGACGGCCAACATCCAAGTTTGTGTTCTGTGTCACCAGCACAGGGAGAACCTGGCAGTCCTAATTACAACACACTGCCCTATCCATTCAACCCTCCTTCTCCTGGGGGCAAGAGACAAAAATATGGGAGATTTCTCTCCAGTTATCCCTGCAGCGTTCAGGATGCTCTACTGGAAAATCATGTTAAAGAGCGAGACATTTCTGGGAGGGAGGCATTTCTGATGTGACAAAATGATTGAAAGAATCATGGAGGCTTTTAAGAAGACATGGCAACTGAAGTAGAAGTGGTGCCCTTACCAGGATATCAACAGGTTTGTTCTCCAGGTAACCTGTAACTACCACTCTGCAGAGACATTCACATCTGTTCCAAGCAGACATAAAGCATGATGCCATATTAGCAGTATTTGTTCACTTTCCATAATGCATCAAACCAGAAAAGGTCTCACTCTTCTGTCTCTGGTAGTTACAGCAAATAGCCTTTTTAGTTCATGCTTAAATATGTTATTAGTTTGGACCCATGCAGCAAATTAACATTTAATACCTAGAAAAATTTTGACAGAGGCTGCATTTTAAACCAGATGGCCACAGATACCTATCATTGTGCTGGTATTTGTAGCTTAAATATAAAAATTAATTTTGCAGCATCATATATATTGTGTTTAGCTTTATTTTGTCCAATAGGCCAAGAATGATCAAAACTCAGTCTTTTGTTCCAAAGCAATCAGTGATTCCTAGTGGTGTGCTGCTCTTTGTCTCTTGGGAAGATATGTTGCAAAGAATCCCCTCGTGTTAGGATGCAGGATTTTCTAGTGCCTGTTCGATTTAAAAATTTCAAGGATGTTTTGTGCTGGCTGCCTGAGCCTTCCAGAATGTGTCACTCCAATTAAATTGCTCCTTATTAATGCAACAAGGGGAGTGTTGATGAATGAACATGCTTCTTGCTCCAGTTAACACCCCTTTGCCACTAGTGGTCAGTGGTGTTGACTGTGTGGGTGCCACCCACCTCTGCCATCTTTGTCCCCAAGGAATTATGTGCCATTATTTATGTTTTCATCTGCTACACTCAGACTTCATGTCTGCTGCGAGGAGATCCAGGTGCGCCTTTTTTGTTGTGGGAAGGAAACCCGCAAGGGTCATTAATTTGTGACTGGGGAACTAGTTTCTGTTCACATCACTAACAGGGGTACGCATCACAACTGTGGTCTACAAACACCCAAAGTCTTAAACCTCATGAAGTAAGTGGATTTATAGCTGCTGCTCTGAGGTGCATTTCACAGAATAGAACTGCTGTCATTGAAAATTCTTTGATCCCTGCTCTAATTCTTCCTCTTCCAACAGGCTGCCTGTGTGCAGTTTGCTTATTTTCCATCCAGCCCCATGAGAGTCTATTTTGTCATCATCACAATTATTTGTGAGGCTCTGCAGAGGTTTCTGGGTCAGGTTAAATCACTTTCCTCTCTGCAATAGCCCAGCAGGATACGCAGGGCCCTCCCTCACATCCCCCCTAGAAATGAAAAGTGGATTCAGTGCTGCCCAGATGCTATTTGACAGTCCTCGGGACATTTTGTCCAATATAACTCCAGAACAGCAGCAACCGCCTCAAGTGTCTGGAAACTGAGCCAAATCCTCCCCTGGCAAATGTTTTGTTCTGACTTAGGTTTTTGGCCTATTACCCCCAGAAAGGAGTAAACCAGTGGCTCTCAGAGCATTTAGTCTATCCCTAGTTACAGGCTGGGAGTCACCTACCTAAAAGCAGAAAGTAGGTTTCTGTTGAAATTCACTTTCTCCACTCTGAGCAGTTGGAGTTGACATACCCTGATCTGGAGAAGCATCCCTTCTCCACCCAGCTCTCCCCTTGGACCTAGGTGGGCAGGGGAGATGAGGCTGTTCTAGGGAATGGGCTAAAAGCCCAGTGCATAACTGTCTGCATTGCTTGAGGGCCGCTGCTTAGGCTGGGTCTGTTAGTGAGGCCAAGGTCCTGGGGAGTGGCTGCAATCCCATTTTCTGTGTGCCCATCACCTGGGCAACACAGACTTGTTCATCCCTTATTCATGGTGTCAGAGCTCCTCTGTCCCATGGGATGGCCATCTGCTCCTGCTCAGCACCTGAATATTTCAAACAGCTCCCTCACCCCTGCCTCCCCTCTCTGCCACCCTGAGCCAGCCACCCTGCTCACTCCTCTCTCGAAGCCCCTGCCCTGGCTCCTCACTTGCTTTCAGTTCCACCAGGCCTGTTCCCAAATCACTCTGATGCAAGTGTGGAGAGACACAAGCTCTAATTCAGTCTGGCAGCTGGGAGGTTTAACTCTCCTGAGAGCAGAGCTGAGCTTGCATGAGTAATACCTCCGGCAGCACCATGCAGCTTGCTAGGGACCAGTAGACTAGCCACTGGGAGCAGTGTTAGGAGACAAGAACTAGGCTAGTGGGGGTGTAGGGATGTCATGAGGGGCTGTGGTAAAGTGGGTAGCAACTCGAGCAGAATCAATTAAAAAGTGAAAGTTAACCTATCCTCCCTTCTCATGGCCATCAGGTCCAGCGTGTCAATGTTGGAGCTCAGGATGCAGCATTGGCAGCATCTGTCCTGTGCTCTTTGGCAAGGTGAGCTGAGGGATGGTTGGGTGAGTTGAGGTTTGAGTTTTGTCTTGGATAGTCTCTGCCAGATGAACTGTGCTTAGAGAGTCATGAATAAATGATAGCCCAGTGATGGAGCACTGCCTTCCACGGCTATTCCATGGGGAGGGAGGAGCATTCTTCTTTAAAGTGGTGTGGCCAGAGAGAGGTTATCAGAGCCTCTGGAAATGAATCTGTCTCTTCACTAGCTATAAAGAGAGCCCCAGGTGACAAGATTTCTCACCTAGGGCACAGTTTCACCATCTATTTAAGCATGGTTTTATTATCAGTTCTCCAAGACCATCTGCCATCCCCTCCCCATTCACAGCCACATCTGCCATCTCCTTTGGGAGAGTTCTGAGCACACACTCAGCATAAATACATAGCAAGGCCTATCAGCCATGCATTTGCCCAGATGCGAGCATAGAGCATTGCTGCTGCAGCCACCAAGCTCAGAGGAGTGACACAAGAGGGATATAATTTAGAATGAAGTTTAGTTAAAATATCTGTGGGTTTTATAAGGTCAAGGATTTTTAGTGCATCTTTATATCGGTCACATTCTGTTTGTGGAAGTGAATGCCGTGGCTGAGAGCAGAGTGAGTTCAGTGTGATCCCAATTCAAATAATTAATTAATCCTCCTTGTCTATTCTCTTGACATCCTACATGTCACACACACATATACACAAAACAGGAGGAGGTAGAAACTGCCCTGTCTGCTGTGGGACTCTGAGCAACAGTGGGAATCTTCCCAGGAAGGGCATTAGCTGGGCAACTTGCCAACCACCCCTACATGCAGACAAACCTGATCTGCTCTGGGTTGTGTCACCATACTGGCATGATGGCTCCCATACCTTACAGGACATAGCAGAAGGACAAGAGGCATCCAACATGGACTGCAAGGAGAAAAACTGACTGCAAATAATCCCTTACTGAAGAAGCAACCAGGTGCCTGGAGCAACATCCCTGGAGAAGTTCAAAGTGACCCTGTGACTTCAGCCAGACTTACCAGGAGAGGGCAGCCAGCTCTTTCTGGACTAACTACCTCAGGAAATGGGTACCTGAGGAGGACCTGCTTTGCCCTGCTCTGTTGGAAAGCTTGGCCTCGCTTCTGGGCATTCAATCTTTAAAAGTCATGTTCCCCCATTGTTAGGCCAGAAAGTGAAGTGACCCAGTTTGGTGCACTATAGAGCTGATTTGCTGCCAGATATAAGGAACCACAGTCAGCACAGAGAGTTTGTTGCCTTTCCTGCAGCTTCACTTGTTCTCCCAGGGCCTCTGCTTCCACTGAAGAGCCCAGCTTTCAGGACTGAGTCCTCTCAGCTGAAGCCAGAGCCCAAGGCAGAGATCCAGGTTGCTGCTTGGGGTGTCCCGTGACATGTCTGGTGTGGAAAAATGCAGTAGGAGCTTCCTCAGATGGGGATCTAGCACCTTCCTTATGGGCTCAGCATTTCTGATTCTGGGGCAAGGGAAAAGGGCTACATCCTCAGAGAACAGTGTTCTCATGGGGCCAAAGTTGAGCAGTGGACAGCACCAGTAGCACCAGTCACATTACCTGGTGTTAATTATTGTGGCAATAACTGCTAACAATTTCAGGTAACCTATGTTGCTCAAACGTTACAGAGGACCACAGCTAAAAATTAAGTACCATTATTTTCCCTCAGAGCAGACACAGACTGGGCATAACCTCCCTTTCTCCACCTCTTGCAGCTGCATCTCACCTCACCCAGTTAACAGCTCAAAGAATAGAGAAGATGCTGGCACCAGGCCAGGCTGCTACTGAGGTGGGCAGAGCTTGGGGTCATGAAGCCAAGTGCAGAGACCTGGGTTTCACTTACTAAATCACAGGGCTGTGTCTGGGAAAAGGATATTATCGGGGACAGTACCGGGTCGCCTGGGGATTCCTCCCCATATCCAGGCTCTGGCAGTGCAGTGTGATGGGCGAGCCTTTCTGAGCCGAGTTGCTTGCCAGAGAGGTTATTTTGAGTAGCGCTGGGTGCCTTGAGCAGCGTGTGTTGACACTGACCTCTAGTGGGAATAGATCCCTTCCTCTTTTGTTTTCCCCTGCAGTTTTAACCATTTTAAGTGACCCATCTTAAGGGGGACTGGAGGGAGCCCAGAATTAGAGTTTCAGCTTTAAAACCCTCAAAAGCAAATCAGAACATCAAGATTTGCCTCATATTATATTTAAATATTTTTATCCCACTACTATTTTCTGCCAATGCATTATGTATAGATGTTATATATATATATGCATATGCATTTGTAGACGTGTATCTTTCTGTATTTAAAGCCTCTGAAAATAATGAAAGTCCACACGGCCAGGCAGAAAGCTCTTTGTTAGGAAGTTTCAGCTCTTGAAACTGAGCCCAAGCCCTGCTGAATGAGAGACAGAAGGCAAATAATAGGGCAAAGTGGCCAAGTTCCTCTTTCAGGCTTTTCAGTCAAATTGTTGGAAGGGTTAATAGAAGCACACCAGGCCAGAGGAGGGGTGTCAGGAGATGGTGCCTGAGCTGGGTGTTAGTGGGTGTACTTGTAGGAGCAGAGAGTGGCTGGCCAAGGATGGCATAGATCACCACCTCCAGCTGAACTCACAGCAGCAGCAGAGGAAGGCCACTTCCAAGGGCTGCTTGGTAGGCAGAGGTGAAGAAAGTTTGCAGTGGACTGGACTGTAGAGTCCGCAGTGATGTATCTTGAATTGCTTCCCTGTAGAGCTGGTCCAGGGTTTATTAGTTTGGGCTCTGTGCTTCGGCTTTGGCTGAATCACTTCTGGACATGTTCTAGCCCTGGAATCAGGATCCACACCTATGCTCCAGCTGGAACAGGATCACTAGATAAACAAGTGTGACTGCCACTTGATGCAAAGGTAAGCAGCAGCTGGTTCACAGAAAAATTAAATCTTTGTACAACACCACACAGGTTTGTGATGATTTGACCATAGTGGATTTGTCCTAATTCCTCATTTTATCCATGTAAAAGCGTACAAGGAACCATTCCATGATGGAGCTGCATCTCTAAAACATCTAGTATATTACTAGAGAAAATGGCAAAGGCATTTTAGAGGTAGTTGATGGGTAACATAATAGCAGTTGGGTATGGAAAGGTGGAAGAACATAGATTCTGTGTGGGTGTCAGGAACAACAGCTACAGGTAGAGCTGGGATGCAGCCACCACCAGGGTGTGAGAGGGAGTGGCATGGATATATGGCCCAGAACCCCACCCTGCATGTGAAAGAGCTGATATATGTGGGAGAAGCTCATGGTAATTGTGGTAGTAACCCTTAGTAATTGTGGTCTTGCAGCTAGGCAGTGCCAGGGACACAACTGAAGGCACTGAAACAGATCCTGAGTGTGGGAGGAAAACTTACGACTGGAAGTTACTGATGCCAAAAGAGACATACCTGCCTCCTTCCTGCTGTCCCCACACCCCAAAACCTTTCCCTCTGCCTGGTCAGAGGCACTTTTCATGGGTAGTTCTCCTGCAGCAGGCTGTGCTCACAGGCCCAGCAGCCAGTGCTGGGGGAATGACGCAAACCCAAAGCAGCAGCTGCAGTGTGCGAAAGGGAAATCATTAGTGCTTTGCATGTGGTTTGTGCCAGCCCAACCAGTACCCATTACCAAGTTCTTCCCAGGTGAGCTTCCCTGCAGGAGATCCTTCCCCTCATGCTGGGATGAACTGGAAAGATGGGCACCCTGCAGAGACGGAAAGTCACCTCAAGCAATAAAAGCAAAAACTGAAACTGACTTTAAAGTATCAGCTGTGTTCAGAGCTATCTAGGTTGTCCTTTGAGGAAGACCTGCTGATTGGGACACTGGAAAGTAATTAGATGATATCTATGAAGATCCATGAGGAACACCACTGGATAGTTTTGGCATTGGAAGGAGAACACTGAAATGCAGGCTGATCAGCCATTCACAGGCAGTGAGCTGGGCCTTCATTTGACTTTCTATTTTCAGCTTTTATCTCTGTGTCTTGGCTGCTCCTATGTGAGCCCCGGCAGCCACTGTGGGCTTTGGGCTTTCTATTTGCAACACAGAAAGTCAGTGGGAAGGGGCTGGACCAAGAGGCTTGTACAGCCAACTGCAGCGACCTCCGAGCCTCTCCCTTTGCCTCTACAGGTAGCACAGATGAGAAGGTGTCTTGGTGGGTGAAACGGTTTAATCCATGCACGTGGGAAAATCAAACTTCTTGTTCACACATATCTCTGCTACCAGTAAGTGACATCTACCATATCGTTTCCCGCAGAGCCTGAGGCTTCAGTCAGCACCTGCACATGCAACAGCATCCTCACCCACACACCGCCTAGTTTGACAAGGTCCCTCTTCCACCCCTGGCAAACCTGCCTGCTATTTAGAGAACCCAAGCCAACAGGGCAGGGCAGGAGGCAGGCCCAGAACACACCGGCACGTACTGCCCGGCTTCGGGAAGTGCAGCGTGGCCACCTCCCTCTCCTGTGCGCCCCCACCCGCTGTTCCGTGCCCACGCGTTCCGTGCCCACGGGTGGGTTTCTCCCTCCTGCTGCCTCTGTGCCCCGCCCCGGACAAAGCGGGCGGGGCGAGACAGCCCCCTCGTTGTGCCGTGGGGGAGCCGGGGCAGCGCGACGGGGCGGCGGCGAGGGGAATCCCGGGCAGGCGGGGCCGGGCGCGGCTGAGTCAGTGCGGGCAGGGGCAGAAAGAGAAGGAGGAGGAGAAGGAGGAGGAGGAGGCGGAGCCGCGGCGCCTTGGACTCTGCGCCGGCCGCCACTCGATGGTTTTCCGGCCATGAGCCCCCCGGCGCCGGGAGCGGGGCCGGAATCGGGACCCGGGCCGGGGCAGGCGGACGGCGGGCGCTGAGCCATGTCGCGGGCGGCGGGCGGCGAGTGCCGCAAGGAAGCGGCGGCCTGGGAGGGAGAGGACGGGCAGTGCGACTCGGGCATCGAGTCGCTGCGCTCGCTGCCGGGCGCCAAGGAGACCCCCGCCGCCGCCGCCGCCGCCGCCGCCGCCGAGGTCCCTCCCGCCGCCCCCGAGACCCTCGACGAGACCACCGCCGCCGCCGATGAGCGGCTGGACTCCAGCTACGGCTCCGACGCCCTTCCTGAGGCTCTGCCGGAGCTGCCGGGCGTTCCGGGGAGCCGTCCCGAGGAGCCGTCGCCGCCGGCCGAGGGGCTCAGCCGGCAGCAGCTGGAGGCGCTCACCTACCTTTCGGAGGACGGAGACACGTGAGTGACCCCCGGGGGAGCTGCGAGCGCAGGGCCCCCCCAGCCCCAGGGCCTGGCCCCTCGCAGCCGGCTGGCGGCGGGGAGCCGGTGCCTAGAGATAAGCCGGGCAGGATCTGCTGTGGTCCCCATCCCTCTCCCGAGGAGCATCCGTTCAGCCGGGCTGTGAGGGATTCCCCAGATCCCTGTCCCGAGAGCCTTCCGCCTTGCCTTGCTGCGCATGGATGCTTGGCACCCTGGTGTAGGTTTGTGCGTTGGTGACCCGCTCACCCGCCTGAGGGGCATCTGAGCCGGGTCGAGCAGAATGAGGAGAGAAAGATGTACCTCAGGTTACATGGCACAGAATGGACCCCCCGTAGGAAGCCAGCTTCCGCTTGCTATGGGGCTGCTAGCAACTAGAAAAGAGGAGGGAGCAAATCAAGCCCCCCACTGTCTCTTACCCAGAGAATTCAGTGTTTCCTCCCCAGTAAGGCTTGGCTGCGTGAGAGGGCACGTAAGCAAGATGTGAAACAAGGTTGGCTATGCAGGGCAAGACCTTGGGATGGCTGGGTTAGACACTGCTCAACAAAGCAACCCAAGAACTGTTTGTTCTCAGGTGGGAATCGTCTTGCTTTGCCAACCTGCTGGCAGAGCCGCAGCTTTTGGCACAGCTGAGATGCACATCCCAGTATGGGGCTGCCCTCCTGAGCCTCTGTGACGGAGACAAGCGTTTCTCTTAATGAGGGGGGGCTTCCCACATCTGTAATGCCCTCTCAAGTGCAAAGGCATCACGCCAGAGTTATTTGGTTTGGCTTCTGGTAATTGCCTTCACCTAATCACAGCGTTTTTTCCTGTTGTACATTCCCTCGACGGAAGGTTTTCGTCATGAGTGTACATACAGAGCACGAGCGAAAGTTCTCACAGTTGAGGGCAAAGCTTTGCCCCAAACACTGGCTGGAGTTTAATACTGAGTAATGGTGTAAGAGGAAGAGAAACTAAGAGGCACTGATATGAGCAAGGAAATGTCTTCAGTAATGGCAACAAGAAGGCTCTGTCCTTGCCCAGCAGAGCACATCTGGATTGAAGCTGAAGATGAGCTGGGAGACAGCCTGTGTGTTTACTTCCCAGTTAGGAAGGAGTCTGTGCTTCTGCTAATTAGTTCATTAATGCTTACTGTGGGATCTGCTCTGAGGATTGGCTGGAAGTCTCATGGCATGCAAGGTTAGACTAAACCCAACCTCCCACATTCCCCAGCCAGACTTTCTAGTCCTGTCCTATCTGTGGGCTCCTTCTGGGGCTCCTCAGCATAGAGCAGCTGCACCAGTTTTCCCAGCTGTAACGCTAGAGCCCACTGAGAGAGCCAGGGGTCTTTTCATCAGAGCGGTGGAAGTAAGGCTTCAGAAAGCCTTCAGAAAATCTTCTGAGTGTGCCCAGGGCTCCTCACTCACTGGTCTTTTTAGTGAGCCCTGTAGATGCAGCTGCTTGGAGATGCTTTTACTGCTTGGGGCTATCTTGTTTGGGAGCTGAGCCCTTTGCCTGTCAGACTTGCTTGGAGAGACCTAATGCAAACATCTTATTAACTAGGGAAACATTAATCAGCGGTGCCTTGGTTACTGTAGGCAGGAGAGGCTCTTGGAGAGGTCCCCAAACGGTTGCCATTACTCTTCTGTTTTCTCTCACTCACTGCAGTTCAGAACAGGAAATCTGTAAAGAGTGAGGGTGGGAGCAAAAGGTCTGCTTGGTGGTACAACTCATACAGCTCTGGGCTGGCTGTGTCCACACAGGAGATATTGCTTTCTTGGGATCTGCTCCCACTGCTGGGGAAAGGAAACAAACCTATTCTTGTGGTTAGAATGGTGAGGCTGTGGTGAGGCTCTGCTATTCTTGTCTCTGCTTCTGACCCTGTGGTAGAGGTAGGTGGCATTTATATTTAGAAGTGCTGAACATCCTCAACTCAGGTCGATGCAACTGGGGACTGTGAGCACCCAACAACTCATTGAACTGCCACTGGTTTTGTGTGTGAAAACAGTGAGGGCTGATAGTAAAGTCTATGGAGCAATTGCTCATCCAGTGAAAGAAGATCCCCAGAGAGAAGGGATCAGATGGGCACAGGCTACATCCCTTTCATCTGGCCAGACAAAACCATCGACTTCTTTTCTTCTTTCCGTCTCTGTCAGCAGCACATTTCCTTGTGTGCGTTTTCTTAATGTCTGCCACAAAACAGCTCTAGGCAGAGAATTAAAATCATATTGTCATTATATTTCAAAAGACTTAGGCAACAACATTTTACTGTAATTGTAATTCCTAAAATACAAAAAGTTCAGGGGTTTTGGCTTAGTAGTTCCTATTTCTCCAGATGCCCTGGCTGGTACCAAGGGGAGAGGAGCGCTGGGCTTGCACAAAGGGAGCTGGCAAAAGTCTTGGCTCTCCATATGACAAAAATCTTCACTATGCATAGCTCACTCAGGCTCATTCACCTGTGCCATCCTGAGGTTTGTCTGCCTGGTACTTGTGGGGGAAGAACAGGAGGTGGAAGCAGAGGCAAGGAGCATGTGCTTGGGCGGTTGGAATGTCAACAGGATCCTCCCTGAATATCTCCCTGCCCGCCTCCGTGGGAGAGGAGCGTCAACCCAGGTGGGATGAAGTAATGAGCCTAAAACTGGCTCTTCGTGCGCTCAGAATTAGGAGTCTAGCTTTGGCAGGAAGGAAGTGGCCATGAGGGAAGAAGGGAGCGTGATGGCCAGTGAAATATGTGAGTGCTGTCTTCCAAGAATTATTTGCGCAAAGGTCGTCGTCCCCATGACTCCTCAGTACCACTGGCAGCCCCTCCACCTCGGGGAAGTCGGAGCTGCAGTTATTGGTCACTGGGATTCAAGAGCTGAGCTGGCAGGGCAGGAGAGGTCAAGGATGAGGAATGGGGCAGAAGGTGGCAGGCAGGAGATGGTGGGAGCACTCAGGGCAGAGATATGTATCTTGCTTGTTCCGTAGCCAGATAGAGAACAAACCCTGTGCACTCAAGCTCAAATGGTCTCCTCCAAGCATCCATCTTTTCCTTGTGACTCAATATTCCTCCAAGTATCCATCTCTTCCATGAAAACAAGCTCCTTTTCTGCTGAATTGGGTCCCAGTGGGACTGCGCTGCATGGAAGGGAAGAGAGGGGCTTTCCAGCTGTAGACATGGCTAGCTCTGAGCAGGCTGCAGGCAGCTTTACTGCTGTGCTCCAGCCTCTGAACTACCTCAACTTTTATTAGGATTCACTAAGGAAACCCCCTCTTTCCCAGCCTCAGCAGGCAGATGCACAGGTCCAGCATCCTGGGAGAGGTCTGGCTGTGGGACCAGCACCTTCGAGGTGAAATGGGGTGTGATGGGATCACCTGTTATGTTCCAGCACAAGGGAAAATCTCCCTGGTTGCTTAGGCTTATGTCAGCCTCTGCCAGCTCTGGAGAGGCAAAGTTGAGTCATCAGTGTGTGAAATTAAGTGGAGTTTCCTCTCTCTTGGACTATCTTAAACTTAAAAACATGTTTTCCTTGGTGCCCGTGCTGGTCCTTGGGCCACATGCCAATTTATGCCGTTGGTACCTGATGCCACGGTGATGGAAAGGCTGGGGGCTGCGCCCCCACAGGAGGGTGACTGTCTTCTGCAGAGAACTCTGTATGCAAAGCAGTGCAATACTTCTATGGGGGTGAAGGTTGGGGGACCCCAGCTCAGTCACAGGAGAAAGACTAGAGCCTCCTTCAGATGGAAAATGGGACTAAGTGGTTTTGGTCGGGCGCATGTTTCACGGAGGGAGGGGAGCAGAGGAAGCTTGACTTCCTCCTTCCACCAGAGACAAGTGCTGCTCTGTCTGCTGATAAGAAATCACGTGCCAGTGACTCGCGGGCTCAGATGCCTTAACAAGGGTTTGGGGACAGTTAATCGAGTAAAATTGGGGCCCCTTGGGAGGTGGCGTTCTGAGCTCTTCTCCACATGGTGGTAGCAAAGGGGCCTTCTCTGCTGAGCCCTTGCCTGCTTGGGCAGCCACTGAGCACGAAGGCTCATCCTGAGGGGCCACTTCTAACCAGCGTGTGCCAGTCTTAACCCTTCCAACTCATGGAGCCCTGTGCCAGAGATCTTCCCTGAGCAGGGGGATAGAAGTTGTCCCCATTCAGGGTGTCTGCTCCAGCGTGGCTGCTTGCTCGGTGCTTGCCCTGCTGAGCAGGGGTGTTGCTGAACCCCTGTAGCCCTGGATCCCAGTGTGTGTGACTGGGGCAATGCTCAGTGTGTGACAGCAAGGGGCAATTACTGTGAAAGAAGGAAAAAGAAGCAGAGGACTGGAGAGATTCAGGACTAAAGAAATCCAATGCGGAGAGCACACCTGGTTGCTGGTCAGGCTGAAAGTCCCCCTGCTTGGCTGGGCTGGGCTTTTGCTGGCTGCCCAGCACTCAGATGGCCACAGTTAATGGGAAGTGGGGATGCTCTTGGTTTTACCAGAGGGGCTTTGGAAAGAAACCTCCTTCCTTGATTGTCAGGATTCACATCCATCCCGAGTTGCTTCCTAGCCTGCTGCCATTGTCGAGCAGAGAAGAAAGTGAGTCCTAACATGGGTCTGGCAGGAGGGAGAACTTCCTGTGTCCAGTTCCCTGTCCCTGGATTCTTGGCTCTTCCTCTATGTGTGCTCAGGAGTTTGGTAAACAGGGGAGGGCTTGGTGTCCCTCCAAGCAAGGGCAGAAAGCTCTGGGGCATCCTGTGGGAAACAAGTAAGTCCTGGCAGCCTTCTGAGACTGTGGATGCAAGAAGAGGTTTTTTTCTCTGTTTGGATGACTTCAGCCTGGCCTGGAGGAAGTTTCTTCAGACTTTCCACCTGCCTAGGTTTGCCTTGGAGCTAAGGGGAAACACAGGGAACTTCAGCACAGGGGAAGGGAAAGAATGGCTGGAAGTTTCCATGTCCTGGGATGCAGAAGCCTGATACCTGGCTGTAATAGATCAGCTGAGATGGGGGGAGGACTTCAAGTCCTTGCACTTTGGAGGTAAGCCTGGCCGCT